TTCTTTAAATCTTTTATTATAAAATAATTATTAAAAATAACATTATTGTTTTTTCTAACAAAAATGACTTTTTTTTTTCGTCATTTTCTCATTTCTTCCTTTCTTTTTCATCTGTTTTCATTCTCACCATCAGCGAATAGACTTCTTAAAATCACCATTTCCCTTAATCGGAAAACTATATTATCCCACCTACAGTTTAAATATTAGGAAAATAGAATTATTTTACTGCCTGTTTTGAATTTATGCTCAAACTAGTTTTTAAAATATAAAAGTAGAAAAATGATCTTTTAGTAAATGTAAAAGGTGAAATATAATGTTTTGTTACAAAAATTATTAGTTCTAATAAAAATTACCCTTTCCTGCTTTCAATCGGGGAACGACTCATCAGACTTCTGAATACATAAATCTTTCTCAATTAGGAAAAAAGAAGAAGCACTGATTCTATAATATTAGAAATACATTTAAAAGCTTCATCTTGCACTTCAAACAGAAAAGTCAACTAGGTGAGATTAAAAGCCTCCAATTCAATTAATTACTTTTTTCATGCCAAAAATTCTCATACATATATATTACATCCTACATTAGAAAACCATATTCCTCAAGTTATATATTATAACCTCTCAGAAATTGGATATAGGAACTCTCTCAGCCATACAGGAATATTTCAGTAAGAATTTCTTCACATGTTCTTTTTGTGTGGTTTTCATCAGCTTAATCTCTCCGATGCATGTTTTCAACTAAACATTACATAAATGTAAATTGAAGAATTGAAGTGTGATTTAAGAAAAGGCTCGGGTCAACATAAACTACTTCACAAAAGTACAACATTATTATTTTTCTTATATCTATTACATTTCAAATCACAACTTGGAGATAAAAAATTCACCGCCGAATTGCAACTTCACACGCTTCCAATAATTGAAGTACTATACCCGTTCTGGACATCAAAGAATCTTGACCACAGCATCACCCCACCATATTTTGGTGACTCCTTAATCACCGGCAGGATCTGAGACGTCAACACATCGGCCGGGATGAAACCGCTGCCAGCGGCTGCCGGAGCCGCCGGCAACCCTAAGAATATCTTCCCAGCAGGTACTGTACTAGTCCAACGGTTCCAAGAATTCAGAAGGTTGGTTACGTTCCCATCAGCATACTGACATGGAGGGTTGTTGTAGAACTGAACCCAAACAAAGTCAAATAGGCCCGTGTCTAGGGCAGTGCCCAAAAACCTATCGGGAATTGGACACTGAGGGGCAGCACCTAGGTATACCCTCTTCCCTTTGCCACTATACGCTTTAAGGAAACGTGCAAGGTGCTCATAGTTTTCTGTTGAGCCTTGTTCTATGTCGAAATCTATGCCATCTAACACAGCATCACCTAATGGTCGTGTTGATGATTTGCCTCCCAAGAAAGTGTTCCACAGGAAGGTTGAAACGTTCCTTGCATCCTCAACGGAAGCCAAAGTGTAGCTTCCAATGCCACCACCGATGGAAAGCAACACCTTGATGTTTTTGCTTTGGCAGTCCTTGATTTCAGCGCTGAACTTTGTGCAGGAATTGGTCGCGGGGTTGCAGTGACCAGCCAGGTTCATTTCTGGGGTTTGGCCATTGCCAAATTTGTTGAGGAAAGCTATGTTGACGTGAGTGTATCTCCCTGTGGCACATGCTTCGGAAAGGGTGCCCTCGTTGCCGTTTTGGCCCCAGTAGATGGCTATGCCGCCGGCATGAGAGGTTCCGACAAGAGTGAAGAAGAGGAGGGGAAGGAGAAGAGAAAAAGCATCAGAGTTTTTGCTCTTACCCATTTTTGTAAAGTTGGGTTTGGCTTCTGTTTTCTACCCTTTGGCGTGTTGTGAAGGGTTCCTTCCACCTTTGATATTTATAGAGCCCATAGCTGGCTTTTCACAGCTTTAAAGTTTGAAGATTTGAATTAGGGTGTTGACTCAGGAGATGTCATTTCCCACGGGAAAAGGTCTAAGAGCTTTAATTTTCAACTACTGCATTATCTCTCGAATAATTTGTAGGGTCTTTAGTGTAGTTTCCACTATCATTATCACTATGTTTATGTTTATCAACCAGATCAATCAAAAGTCAAAACCATGAGACAGGGATAACTATTGAAAATCAGAAGAAGGTTGGTGTTCGTTACTGTGTTATATTTGAAAACTATTTTGCTTTACGTTAAAATTTAAGGTTTCTACCATTTACATGTAATAAACTTGAAATTTGTAACACATCTTTTACATCCTGACATATATATTAATGGAAATTCAATATCAGTTCAATAGTGTGTAAAGATAACAGACACAACAAATAATAAAACTTGCTAGATTTAAGATACCTCCGTTACCATCTTATGCAATTAATTTTAATTCAACTTTATAAAATAAAATTATGAAATAAAAATTCTTTATATATATTATAAATTTATCTTATTTCTAATAAAATATTAAATGTTTAATTAGAAACAAGCAATTGACTCGATTACTTTACGTGCCAAACCCTCGAACAGACTATCACCGCAGAAGCTGAAGAAGCATTAATGCAAGCGTGCTATTGTTTCATTCCTTGTTAATTCCTGATTCTAAGATATGTAGAAAATTTGTGTAAATATTTATCCATGAAATAAATAAATAAACATGTTTTTATTGCTAAACCTTTTAGAGATTTGTGCTTAGTACATTGTCAACAAACTTTGCATTCTTCTAGAAATATCCTTTAAATGTATCAAAGTCAATTGACAGACTGTATAATTAATTAATGTATTTCAATTGAATCATTTTTTTATAAGGTAATATTTTAAAGATTAAAAATTATTGGAATATATTTAAAGTGTAAGTATTGTTTTACAAAATTGTCCAATTATGGGGTGCTATATTTAATTTTAAACTGTTAACTCTTATAAAATAATTATTTCAAAATTATATAATTGCTGTAATTAATTACAACTATCAGTATTAGAATATAAGTGTATAAAAATAAACTACTAGAAAAGTATCTTTCTCATGCATATACCAGTTATTATTCAATTATTCCTGTGTTAATTTGAATCCAGGAACATTTTATTCGTATAGCAAATTTGTTGAGAGATATATACAACTGACAAAAATCTAATTAAAATGGGCTAATTCATATGTTGAAGTTGAAAATGAAAAGAATTTAAATTATTAATTTGAAATTATTATTTTTATAAAAGTAATTGAATACTATAAGATATATGTTATAATTAATGTTTATGACGCAGAGGCAGAATCTGAAGTCGAATTTGTGGATTAGATAGTGATTGGTGTAATATATTATGGAAGAAATCTGATATGAATAGGATTTTTGTGGATTAATTTGAGTAAAGGAATAAGGTAGAAGTCTGAAATGTGAAATTAATAATAAAATGCAGTCCATAATGTCTGCAAGTGCTCTGCGTTTGAGTTAGGGGAATATGATTATTGATATGATAACTATCAATAGTCAACGCCCGCTTTCGCATTCCTCAATTCTCATTTGGCGTCAATGTGAGACAATACTCAAGAAAAAAGCATGCAATGCTTTTAGAATAATAGTTAAAATATCTTTTTAAAAGTTAAAATTTGTATTTCTTTTATGTTGCACATAATTATTACTTTTATTTACTGGCATACAATGAAGATCCGTATTTTTTGGGCCCGCAAGCAAGGGTCCTGATTTCAAAAACAATCCAATTCATCCTCTGCGTTTCACTTCCAATTATTTTTCTAATTTTAAAAAAATAATTTTATATTTTCTTTTACTAGATTTCAAAATTTAGTAAATATATTTTTATTGGATTAAAGATTTTATCTTTATCAAATTTCAAAATCTAATGAAAGAGTTTTCAAAAATTTATCAAATTTTAAAATTCGATAAAAAATATAAAATCTTAGATTTCAAAATTTGATGAAGAAAATCTTTTTTATCAAATTTTGAAATTCGATGAAAAATAATAAATAAGATATAAGATTTTTTGAATTATAAAAAATAATTTTAGAATTTAAAATAAAATTATTAATTCAAGGTGAAATATTTTAAGGTACATATGAAACCACATTTATCATCATTTAAAAAGGAGTTTCTCCATGGATTGAGTCACCTAAGTCCTGCACAATTTCCTTTAGACGTTGTTCGGTCCACGCTTTCTCTGTTCTCTCCGTCTAGTCAAGCCTTGTTCAATCTCCTGTGCACCGGCTGGAGCTCTGTTCTCTCCGTCCAGTCAAGCCTTGTTCAATCTCCTGTGCACCGATCGGAGGTGTACCGGCTAAAGGTGCTCCGATGCCAAAGTCAGTATCGGTAAGTTAAGCACTGTAATAAATGCGTAATTAATGAACCTGTCTACCTCTTACCTTTGACCTGTATTTATAGTTTTGGTCGTGAGTTTCGGATTAGCAAAGCCTTAATCACGGTCCAATCCACAGCCCAATCATTTTTAATCAGTGTTTTACCTTAATCATGTTCGGAAACCCACCTGCCATGACCGTCCAGCCTTGATGTTTCTCGATACCGTCCGTCGACGCCGGGGATTATTACATCCATGTATCATTTAAAATATCAATTTGGAGGTGTAGAGAAAGACTTGGAGGTGAAGGGATATTAAACATATTCAATATTAAAGAAAACTTCAAATGTAGGTTCTGGAATTTTAAAAAGAGACAATATGATTAACATCACATATTAAGAGGCAACTCTGTGAAGAACAATCCAATAATTAATAGAGCATACGTGCTAAAATACAAGTTGAAATCAAATGTTAGACATAACATTCCGAAATAATACATGTCTTAAAGCAACTCGGTAGTCAAGTGATTAGAAAATATAATTCACCAAACGAGTTTTAATAAAGATTTTAGACATTTTTCATAATCATTGAAAAACAAATTTCTTAATCAAAATGAAAGTTCATTTCTACGCAGAGATAATAGGTTAAGTTACTAAATTGAGAATGTGTTATAGCAAAATATCTTTTCAAAATTTTATTCCTGGAAAGAAGACTTAGTAGACAGATGGCTAAAATTGATAGAGATACCGGTGCTTCTGATAACATCCAATGATTTTTCCAATTATAGATGTCATATTGTAAGCAACAACTGCTGAATAGCTTTGCACTATTTTCTTAGTTTGTCCAAATATAATGCATTTCCATCCTACTTCTAATCTAAATAAACTGTCTTGACTTGTCAATGTTACAGGAAAAAAGACATGGCAGCTATTCCAAAAATCTTGTTCAGTCTCATTGAGATTCTGCAGACCGAAAATGAGACCAATATTCTTTGACAAGATTCCCAAACAGCGATCCTTCTCTCTTTATCAACTTCATTGGTTCATCATACTCCACCAGTTTTCCTGAAAAAAAAAATAGTCACTTTGTTTTCGTAGAATATATACAATAACAAAACGTTAAGTTCCAACGCATGATCAATTATTTAAAAAATTAAATCATCACAATTATAGATTATTTTGGAAAAGCATGTGTTGAAGCGCAACATACCATCACTAATGGCAAGAACCTTGGTGCAATCCATGACAGTTGGTATCCTGTGAGCTACCGTGATAACTGTACAATCTTCAAACTCGGTACGAATGGTTTTCTGCAAAATCAAATCAGTTGCATTATCAATTGATGCAGTTGCTTCATCAAGCACCAATATGCGACTTCTGCGTAGAAGAGCACGTCCTAAACAAAATAGTTGTCGCTGTCCCATGCTCCAGTTTGCTCCAGCTTCAACAACTGTACAATAATTTGCCACTATTAATTAATACTTACGTAGGAGTTTGTCAGAGCAGAGTTGTAGGAACAAAACATCAAGTGTACCTGAAGAGTCTAATCCCAATCCCTCTTCTTTCTCTTGGACAGCCTCTTGTAACTGACACTTCCCAAGAACCTTCACATCGAAGCTAAAATCAGTCCACACATAGTAGAGATGTGAAAAACATAAAAGACATTACAAAATACTGAAAAATTACAAAACATGTATGTCATTACCTCCCATATCTCTTGATCAGAGTGTTGAGATAAGGGGTCCAAGTTGTATCTGACTGTGCCATTAAAAAGAGTAGGATCTTGAGGTATAATAGCAAAGCGTGATCTCAAGTCATGAAGACCGATAGAGCAAATGTCTATGCCATCAACTACTATTTGTCCACCAGCTGGCTCTACAAGACGGAATAGAGCACCTATGAGAGTGGATTTTCCACTGCCTGTTCTGCCAACAATACCAATTTTGTGCCCTCCTTCAAACGTGCATGTGATGCCACGCAGTACTAGTGGTGCATCAGGCCTGTAACGTATCTATTTTTATACCAAGAAGCAAATTAGGAGCTTTGCTTCACGGGGGCATTTTTAAGGACATAGAGCAACATGTTTTGAAATAGTAATGAATACCTGCAATTCATTTATCTCTACTCGACCAGCAACTGGCCAATTCGCAGGAGGACGATTTCCTTCTATAACTTCTGGTGCCTCACTTGGTATATTCATATACTGATTTAGCCTCTCCACTGATATTATATAGTTCGCTACATTGCATTGATTTTGAATTGAAAATACCAAGGAGACGTTAAGTGAAAGACCATAAGAAAGAGCCATGCCGATAAATCCTGGAATAACATCATAAGTTGACATTATAATACTTGCATTGGACCGAGCTTTTAATGAAAAACATCATTTGCACGAATTACACAAAATGTAGCTTTCCAAAAGCAATAATAGAAAAAGTCTCACCAGAGGAGAAACTTCCAGGTGGAAGCACGACCATGCAAAGTGCAGCAGATGCGAGAACAACAGCACTGACTGTTTCTAATCGTTGAATCAACCACTCATTTGCTGCAAAACTATGGAAGTAAGGACTAGCATTGACATCAATTAGATGAAGGTTTTTCTGAAAAAAACGATCTTCCTCCTCAAAAGCCCTTATTGTCACAGCTCCAGCAACAGATTCAGCAAGATGGTTAGCTACAAAGGATTTTGTGGTGCCATTCAACCGCATAAGTTCTTTCGCCGAAGCAAAGTAATATTTCTGTATAAAAGAAATTATTAGGCTAATAAGTATTTTTACTTTGCAATGAGAGTATTTAAATCTATGAAAAATTGTTACGAAGTCATTAAAAGAGGAAAAGATAAAAGAGCCTCCATATTGTGAATTTTCTTTGTGAACTGAACTATATCTTAGTGCCCTTTCGTAGTACACAAGTTTCCTTATTTTATAAGTCAAATCTTGATTAAATAAGATACTTCCCAGCTATTTTAAAATTCAAAATTTTCTACATGGAAAATAAATAGGTTTCAAAAACCCGCATTATATAAAAATGCAGGGATGAAGTCGATCTGTGTCATTATGATCTCATGTCCAACAATAACACTGCGGTTAAATAATTTTATTCTCAAATTAATTTAAAAAATGACACCAAATTATCCATGTAATGTAATCCAAAGAAGAATTCGTTCATCACCTGCAAGCTGATTGCAAAATAAATCATTGGGATTGAGACAAACAAGACTTGCCAAGTAACAACTGCTAAAACTGCAAGATTAGCATAACAATTTGAAGTAGCTGCCACAGCAAACAAACAGCTGAATGCAACATCAAGGTCCACAATGTTGAGATCCGAGGAGACCTAAACAAGGAAATAACAGACAAAAAATTAGTGCTTCCATGCATTGCATTACATTGTAAAGGGAAAGAAAAAGAAATGTTAAATATGCTTACCCTAGTAAGTATCCGTCCTAAAGGAGTGGAGTCATAAAATGACATGGGAGCACGAAAAAGGGAGTTCAGTAGCTGTAAAAATAGTGACTTTGACGATTGAAGGCCAAAAGCAACTGTAGCAAGACTTCTGATCAACAAGAATATTGATGAAATAGCTCCAATCAACAAGTAAACCACAATCAATTTCAAAGAGCTGACTTGAGGGTTGTCAACACTAGCTGCCATCCACGAGTTTTGTAATATTTGGCCAATCACAAACGTTATCTGAGAAAAAAAAGCCAAAGAGAATAATATATATCCTTTGCTCTGATTCAGATACTGTATATACGGTCTGAAACCATGGTCTCCTTTTTCTCTCTCTTCTTGCTTAATCAATTGATCGCCTTTTGATGCTTCATATTGTTTCTCCATGGATGTTTTTCTAATATCTCTAGAACTATTTGAGTGTTTGTGGGAAGAAGTGACATCCACAAGCCGGTCAGAACCAGCAGTCTCTTTGTGGGCATTCACAAGGTTCTGAAATTCTTGGCTTGAGCTCAACAAATGGTGATACGGAGCAGCTTCTATAATTTCACCATCTGACATCAACTGTAGGAAAAAAGAGTGATTATAGCAATGCTAATTTACATCCAGTGCTTTACAATTACAGAACTATTATGCAAAAAAAAATTAAAAAAATGACATAACTAGTGCTTCGAGATGGAAGAAATTACCAAAACAAAATCAAATGCTGGAAGGAAGTCAACTTGATGAGTCACGAGCAAGACTGTTTTCCCAGCAAGTCCTTCCATTATGAATTCCTGTCCAGTTAAAAGCCATTTATCAGTGAAAAGTTAATAACACCAAGACATAACAAATGTAGTACAGGAAGAAGAGAATTTTTCATTACATTAAACAAATTTGTTGCAGTATGTGCATCAACTGCACTGAATGGGTCATCCAAGAGATATATATCAGCATTCTTATATAGTGCACGTGCAAGTTGAATTCGCTGCTTCTGGCCTCCACTCAGGTTAACTCCTCTCTCTCCTATTTCAGTGAGATCGCCATTGGGAAACAACTCTAGGTCCTTCAATAATGAAGACCTATGAAGTGTTACTTGATATTTTTCAGCATCCATGTCTGCCCCAAACAATATATTCTCACGTACTGTTCCTGATTGTATCCATGCTGTTTGAGAAACATAGGCAAACTTGCCATACACTTCAAGCTATAAATCAAAAAGCAAAATCAGGTACACATTAATCAAACCAATAATATTACTACTCAAATGAATGATAGAAAAAATGCACGCTGGTAACTTGCACAAAGTGAAGTACCAAAATTTGCAAAGTTTATAATAGACAAAAAGGAACATAATCTTACTTCTCCCTGAGTCATAGAAACTTCTCTGAGAATCGCTGCTAAGAGAGTTGATTTGCCTGAGCCAACCTCTCCACAAATAGCCACCTTTTGCCCTGATCTAACCTCCAAATTTATGTTTCTCAGTGTTGGCTCTGATACATTATTTTCGCATGAAAAGTTCGCAGACTTGATTGTTATTGAACCCCTCATATTGTCATTGAGACACCTTTTAGTGACATTTGCACTCTGCAGTTCAGGTGCCTCCAGAAATTTTACAATCCTAGTAAACGCAACTTTTGCCTGAATGATCACCCCAATAACATCAGGAATGGTTCTAATTGGATCTTGAACAAGGCGCAAAGTAGCCACAAAAGTGAAAACATTATTTGCATGCAGAGGAACATTAAGAAAGTAACATGCCCCAAAGGAAGCAGTAGAGATCAGAACAGGGCTGGACCAAAAAAGAAAGGTGTTGTACGCCTTTCTTAATTGCACTGCATACAACCATTTGAGCTCCTCTTTCCTTAATCTCTCTATAGCCTTTCTAAACTTGGTTTCCCATGCGTACAACTTCAACACCTTCATATTCACAAGAGCCTCAGAGCAAGCCTTCAATCTCTCATCTTGTGCGACCATAAGCTTGCTTTGAAACTTGTGTTGTAACTTTGCAAGTGGAGTATTGCAAAGAACAGTGATTACTATCACCACCAAGGAGGCAATTGTTGCCAGCCCAACAGCACGAAAAAGAATTACCAATGAGATGCATAGTTGAAAGCTAGTTGTCCAAGTCTGGTGAAACCAATAGGGAAATTCACCAATTCTATAAGCATCCACAGTGACATAATTCATTATCTCACCACCAGAATGCATCAATCTAGCAGAATTGGATAACCTCAATTGCTTTCTATAAATGGCTGCAGTTAGCAGTGACCTAACTTTCAGACCAATAAGTCTGCAGCGGAAATACCATTGCCTTTGAGAAAGGGATTCAATGGATTTTGTAAAGAAAAGTAATATTGCCAATGCAAAACCTTCATATTTGAAACTCTCATTACCCTCAGCAACCAATATAAAAGAATTCAATAGAAGAGGTCCCGAAGACAATGCAAGTACCTTAAGCAATGCAAAGAATCCCGATGCTAAAATTTCTCTCCAGTGGCATAAAAGTATTATCCTCAAAACTGATGGCTGCGAGGATGGATCCTTTTGTTTTTTTCTGTTCAGTTGGTCCAGAAATAGTAAATAACGACTTTCTGCTCGATCTTCCTCCCGTAACCCTGGAATGTCTTCATCCTGAAGTGTTTTCTCTTTACCCATTTTCATCAATGGATTCAACCACCAGAATGACATTTTACTGAAGAACCCCGCTTTGGCAAATGGTGTTACATATGGAATAGAGTCTTTTTTATCAGACTCGCCATTTAAGAGGGAATAAAGACTTTCATCAGTTTCTCTGTTAGTGTCTCCATAACTGGATTCCTTAAATGTGCATAATAACAATAATATCGCCCCCGGAAAAGATAGAATATCTGAAGCTATCATAAGGGTTAGTTCTCTGCTACTAATTGCATAAAACAACGATGACGCACAGAAAATACCAGAAATCAAAAAGATCAGAATAGAATAAAGCCTCGCCCATCTTCTTGGAAGTTGTTTCAGCTTAAGACTTAACATTAAACTCACCAACAACCACGTTAATCCGTGAAAGATTTCTAGCAACCACCAATCAAAAGGCAACACAGTTTGGGTCTTCCTCAACTTTTCCTCTAAAACCCAAATGCCTAAGCACAAATGCACCAACCCAATAACTCCATTAGCTATGGAAGAAACTGTCTGCAAATATGAATATCTTTGCACCTGTATTATACCCCGAGATGGTTTTAATGTTGATTTCTGGATCATGATGAAGACAAGCATCATAAGTAATAACACATCAAAGCAAGAGATCAACAAATGGTTGACACAAGTAGAAGGATCGATGAGAAGTCTAAAGTCATAACTGCAAGGCATTCTTCCCGCCTCCGAACAACCAGATTCCCCACAAAGCACGTTCCAAAACACCGTCATCTCCTTGACTTCTCTGGAAAAATAAAAACAAAGAAGCCCATAAAATCATGCCCTTGGAGAGGAAATCATTATCCTAAAACTGTGAAACTAAAACCCATAAATAGTTTATCAACAAGCTTTAGCCAAAGAGACGTATTTGAGAACGTGTCTATGGCTAAGTTGACTTTTAAGAGAGAGAAATGAACATGGACAAACAATGTTCACATGCAGTCATCACTTATCATCAACAACAAGTAGAAGATATGACAATGGTTAACCATAAACGCCTAATACGAGTTTGTTTTTTCTTTCTGAAGTGAAAGAGTATTCTTGACTATTCTCAAACATTCTCTTTTCAATAACACTCTATATAAACGTCAGTAATTTAGAAATAGAAACGTCACTACAAAAGAGTACAATTAATATTCGTTTTTGGTGGTGTGAGGTATCTTCCATTGTGTCAGCTATTTATTGGTTATTCCTAGTGAATGATAGCATGTGAGTTTCATATTTACCAATCAATAAGTATATTAGTAAATAATATGCGTGTTTTCTATACATCTTCATTTTGTTCCAGATTCATGTATGGGGCATCTGGGCTAGTTCAAATTAAAGTTCTAAATAATGCCCTCGACAGGGTGAAGGAGTTTGGTTGAAATATTCTTGATCCTTTTATAAAATTTGGCTTTTTTCTGCTTGGTTTAGGCCCGCGATAAATTAAAATTAAACTCTAATATCTGTCCATACGTTTGATTTCCCTTTCACAATCTTCTGTGCCATTTTTTTTTCTCCACCACTTGTCACATTATTTCCTCTTTCTCTCTCTTGATAGTTTATTCTTTTTTCTAGCACACTGATGTATCAAATGAAAACAACTTCATTCCAGCAAGAAAACATGGGGAAAAAAATAACACAATAAAAAATGGCTTCTGCTGATTTGGGTCTGAAAGAGAATGAGCGAACGTTGAAGTATTGTTACGATAATATATAAAAAGAAAATAACAAAACGAAAGGAATATTTAAAATAGACCAACGGAAAGTGGCTCATTCAATTTAATGATAATAAAACAGAATGAACATAGGAATCAGTAAAAGGACAAACCTATACAGCGCATCGTCCGAAACCTGAACTCATCAGTGGCTAAATGCCACACGCAAACGTATTTTCCTTTTGAACGCGTCTATCAGAATACCGCAATGGACGACTCGTGTCACGGTTAAATAACAAGAAAGAAGGAAAAAAAGCACATGTTCTTGTTTCTTGCTCTTGTTATTTTCTAGTGTTTGTGAAATTGTTGTTTGGTGAAGAAAGGGTACGCATGCATAAGATGATGAGAAGAGTGGAGGTTATGGAGAAAACGAAAGGGAGGCTGCGAAGAAGAAAAAACAAAGATGAAGAAGCTTGCTGTGGTAACAGTGGAAGTCAGTGAAAGTGTTGAAGAATGAAGGTTGCAGCGAAAGAACGTGCGTCTATGTAACGAGATTAGCGTAAGACATGAGTGCATTTATATGGAAAAACCCAAACGATGTCGTCATGGCTAACGTCAGTTGTTATGTTTTTTTCTGTCGTAGAGCTGACTCACTCATTATTGAAATACCTTTCCCTTAACAATATTATACTAATTAACTATCTATTCATCTTAACCACATATTTTTTTATCCACAATATTAAAACATAATACCTTATTATTATGAAAGGTCAAGATATAACCAGGTTATAAAAATGTCTTCACTCGAATAAACAATTAGTAAATTTAAAATAACTAATATATTTTACTTATAGGAATTCAATACATGTCTAAAAATTTATAAACATTCACACCACCCTATCTAGCTATGTTAGATTCTACTAGTATTTTAAAATTAGAGCGTATTATACTTACAGTTTTCTCTTACTTTTTTTTAATTATGTTATTTGTTAAATATTACATTTTGTGTCTTTTATACATCTTTGTTTTACCAAAAACTATGTTACATTTATGTACAAGTTATACCATGAGATTCACTATTTGTTGAAAAAACTTTCACAACATTGACATTGTTAAAATGTCAACTTAGATCAACTATGTCTGTGGACAGATTACTTAGTTTTACTTTTATTTTAATTAAAAATTATTTTAAAAAATAATTATTGATAACTTTTCAATAAAAATCTTCAATTTGGGAAGACACGGAAACTCTCACGACTCCTCATGATGTTAGAAACAAGTATATCGTAAACATTATAAATTTAAGACTATGTTGATTGTAACTCAAAATAATCAATTAATGATGTTTATTATAACATTTTAAACCCTTTTTTTTTCATATTTTCAAATAAAAAATCTCCAAAAATTCTCATATATATTTCTTACTTTTGTGTTTTATTATATTTTTCATACTTTTATTCCCTCCTACAAATTTTATCCGCTAAAATATAAATATATAAAATACCTCTTTAAAATGTTTTCGTACTATTTTATATTTAACTACAATTTTAATAATGTTAACAATGATACCATACAAACAGTGGGTAGGATTTTTAATATGTAAATACTATAACTAAGAGTATTTTTATAATTGATACTACATTTTAGATTTGTCATTTTATATATATATATATATATATATAAATATATATTATATATATATCTATATATATATATATTACTGCTATTAATAAATACCTAAACATATTTTAAATCTTAGGAAAACAAAATTAATACGAACTTTTTCAAAGAAAAACGTTTAATATTTTAGAAATTTTGCAAAATACATGTATAAAATCTGTCGGTAAAACAAAATTACCAACAACTTATCGATGGTCAAAAAATCATCGATAAAAGTGTCATTGGTGAGTTTTATCAACAAATTCTTTATTTTGTTAGTAATTATCCAAGGATTTTTTCGTCGATAAATTCGTTGGTCGATAAATTCTACTGACGGATTAATCCTTCGGTATTTATCGACGATAAAATAACATTGATAATTATCGAAGAAGAAATCTATTAGTAATTACCGACAAAAAAAATCTATCAGTAAATATTCCAATCTGGTTCATCTTCTTTCCCGCTTTCCCTCTCCCTCTCATTATTTCTTTCATTTTTATCAATCCAGAATCTTTGCACAGTGATGAAAAACGTTAGCTTTGATCATTACAGTGGATAAAAGCATTTTTAGTCAAATTCATCTTCTTCTTCTTTCTTTCATATTGAAGCATTTTTTCCAAAATCGTTACAGTGGAGAAAAACGGTGTTGCACGATGGTGACATTGCTTGAAGCGTGAAAAGGGAAGAACGAAAGCGGCATTGCACGGTGATGGTAGTGGTTGAAGCGTGAAAGGGAAGAAAATATGTATTGGACGGTGTTGATAGTGATTATAGAGAAGAAGAAGATGGAGTGAAAGACCTCAATGATGTCGGTGGAGACGAAGATAACGACCTGGCTAAACGGAGAGGGAGGTGCCTCAAAGCTACCATGACGTGAGGTGAGATGGATATGTAAAGGAGTGCAGAGGCTCAATAGCGCAACAAAAATAAACACTACGAGAGAGAGGACAAAATAAATAATGTCTCTCGCAGACAAAGGAAAAAAATGGACAAGAAAATTCTCATTCTTTTTACGACAGATTTTTCGTCGTTAAGTCAAATACGTATCACCGACGAATTTTATCGATAGATTCTTTCATCAGTAATGCACATTTCACTTACCAACAAAAAAAGCCGTAAAAAAATATTTTCGGTAAGTGAAAAATAGGTAGAGAAATTCCCACTATTTTACCGTTACATTATCAACAAATTTACTAAGAAAAAAATTCATCGATAAATGATATACACATTAACAACGAATTTTTTTGTCAATAAGTGATATATCGATGAATTTATCAAAAAAAAATCAATAAAAATTTTTGAAATCCGTTAGTATTAAAAATGTAACGACAAATATATATATATATATATATATATATATTGATAAAAGTCCGTTGGTATTTTAAAATTCTTTTGTAGTACATAATCTCTATCATTAATAACTTATCGTAGTATACTAAACATTAAAATAAATTTAATTACAAATTCAAATTAAAAGAATATAATATGAGAACTAAGACATAAAATATCCCCTACAGGGCATTGATCCCTTGTTAAAAACAAATTAGATGTGCTATATCTCCTTATTTAATTTGAATATATTATAGTTTTATAAAAATGATTAAACTTGTAATGTGGAATTTATAATAAAGACAGAAAGAAGAATGATAAAATTGTCTTCTTCACTCATCCATCTGTGTGACACTTTACATAAAGTTGTACAATCTTTCAGTGAGAAAAAGGGGATTTTAACTTTGTCAATACAAGAATGATAAAATATGAAGTAGAAGTTGTATTGTCATAACCTTTTCTTCTAATGTAAAATGTTAACAGAACTGTCCTTCGAAGATTAATTATAATTGAACTTATCACACATTCATAAATCAAAATTATATATAAAACAAAGAATATAAATTTTTGGAAAAAGTATAAAGGTGGAGGGAAAGACGCATGGGAATGTGGTTCTGCCAGTTTTATATAAAGAACATTAAAGTTTTTATAATGGATAACAGATCCTATATAAAGACACCCACGATATTGAAGATATGGTAAGGGACCTTACGCAGCATATTGATAAAGCGTGTTTGGCTAGTAAGTATTTTTATATTACTATTATAATTTTGTTATTTTGAATTCTCCTATGATTGCTGCTGTATTAAATTCAAACAATATTTTATAAATTGATCTAGTAAAATATATTGTTGGTAAGTATTAATAATAACATAAACGTGAATCTGAGTTTTGTCTTGAATAAAATAGACGCAATTAAATATTATATAAAAATGAACCTTAAATCTAATGTTTGAATTTTTTTTATTAAAAATATTGTTAAATAACTTTGTATTAAGAAAAAAAACGTGTTACACATGTCATATTTGTAATTATCAAATATCGCGCATTGAGTCTTATGGCAATTTATTTTGAGTATGCTAAGTGATGAAATAAAGGTAGAAAGTGTGTGATCTTAAGGCAAAGCAGAAATGAGTATTTGTGAAAGTTGATAATGGTGGGAAAGGTGAAGGAAAGACATAATGTGAATTTGAATGGGTAGAAGGAATAATAAGAGAGAGAATGAAAAGAACGATGAAGGAGAGTGTATTCGACAATGATGATTTTGTTAATCTCAGTTGTCTCTACTTGGAACAAAGACACAGTACGAGTAATTTTTACAGAGTCCACTCCCACTGTTGAAGATTCTGGATAAGTGAAGGAAACCAGGGAGTCAGTCAAAAAATAAAATTAACTCAATATTTTAATATTATATTAAAAAGTAATTTTTAAATTTAATTAAATTTTAGGAACTTCCAACAAAAATACTAATTCTTTTTTTACGTTTGTAAAAAGAATAATAAAGGTCAGTCTAAAAGCTATATATATTTAAGATGATATATTAATTAAATATAGTGAAAAGTGTGGAATCATTAACTTTTGTTTTCTTAGTACCTCACCCATGTCTTGTAGTGGCTTTCAAAAGGAATACAAAGTGCATAAAACTTAGTGCTCACTAATGGCTTGTTTGCGACTCTGCAAGAAAAAGGTGAATGAAATAAGGATCTACAAAGTAAGCATATATTGTTTTTATATTGTCTTGTCTCTCTCCATGATGTACTCATTCATGTCCACAAAAATCACGCTTTTTATTTCATAAAATAAATAAAATAGTAAGAGATGAAAATGAATTTATATATTTATATATATATATAATATATTTTTTAATACTATCAAAAGTAAAGATGTGTGTTATTTTTCTTATTACACTGAATATATATTAATTTTTTAATTATAACTAATTTAGTTTTACAAAAAATGTGTTAGATTTTTAAATTGGTAATAGTATAATAATATATTAAACAATTAATGAAGTAATTGTAGTACTGTCTTGAGAAATATATTGAAAGGATTTTGGGATTGAACATAGATTTGAAAAGAAAATATGTAAGTTTTCAGATTCTGAATAATCTATTCAATGAATTTAAATTCGCTTAGTTAATTTTGTTTTAAAAATCAGTCCTGGTCCTAAACTTAATTTGCTTAACAGATTTAAAAAGTAAAACTAAAATTTATTATTTAGTTTATTTTATTCAAATAACTTTGATATGCATAAATTTAATTACTCTAATAAAATTATGAGTATATTTTGTTTCTTTCTCCAAAATTCTTAAAATCTGATCATTTACTAGAATTGATTAATACTTATGAAGAATTATGATTTAAATGAGATTACAAAAATGATGACAATAGCCTCTGAGAAAAATTGAAAGTTGTGTTTCGTGTTCCCTTCATGGTTAGTTAAATGGAATGGAGTTCCACTTCAGCATAAAACCATCCGTTTTAAATTTCATAGGTTTTTTATGTCTGTCTATTTTATTTATGGACTTCAGGTTATCTTTGACTATCTATATGGTTTTTTCCAACTTCAATCT